CTTGGTGTAATGGTTGATCAGTCTCTTAAGTTATCCAAATAATATGCTGTTTCCAGTGGAAGGGCAAATAGGATTTTGGATTGTATATATACAGAAATATTTCATTGTACAAGTCACTGGTTAGGCCACATTTGGTGTACTGTGTTCAGTCTTGGGCTCCTTACCTTAGGAAGGGCATTGAATTGCTGGAAAGGGTTCAGAGTAGGGTTACTACAATGGTGTCTGGGATGGAGGGGTTTTCATACAAGGAGAGGTTACGATCTCTAAAATTTTCACTTGAAAAAAAGAAGAGTTAGAAGGGATCTGATTGAAATGTAAAAGGAATTGATGGTGTTGTTGTATCACCTTTTGTCGTATCTATTGGTGAGAATAGTAGGACTAGGGGACACAAATTTAAATTTTGGCAAGGAAGGCATTAACTTCAGCTAAAAGTTTTATTTTTTCTAACAGGGTGGTTGGCCTTTGGAATGAGTTGCCTTTGGATGTTGTGGAGGCAGTAACTTTAAGTGAGTTTAAGAGAAAGCTTGATAACTATATGAATGATAATGGTTGGCTTTAAGATTTTTTTTTATTTTTAAATTTATATATTAATAGTTTAGTTTAGAGGATGGAACAGTCAAGATGGACTAATAGATTCAATGTTGTCCCAAAATGTTATGTTAAATTTGTCAGGCAAGAATCAAAGTTTAATAATGCAAAAACACCATTTCTATAATTAGATGTTTCAGGTTTTGAAAATTCTATCATCAGCAAACTACAATGGAAACAAATTATAAGTGTGATAAAAATACAAAAACAACAATTTATGTAAAACAAATACACATTAAGATATTTAATTTAGGCCAATTAGATGTTTGATTATTTATTCTTATAACTGGATATTATAGATAGTAGTAAATTAAAATTTTAAAAAAGCTGGAAAGAATTTACATTATTATTTAGGATTATGAGCTAATTTGTAATTGTTAAAACTTCTTTGATTAAAAGTTCATTTTTAGATGATACCATGGTAAGGATTTTGAAACTGTTTATGGAGATTAGGTGGTTACTGTTTTCATTACACATGCATACTGGAGAGTGGAGAATTTAACAGATTTGACCAGTTTTGCTGGATAATCTCACATCTTCAGATACTCTGTATGTAATTAAGATATTTTGCAAATGTAGGTGTCTTTCAAGTCACCACAAGTACAAACGAGAAACTTCAGTGTTAAACATGAAATTAAAAGAAAATTTCAAAAAGGAGAATTATCAAGGAACCGTTATCCATAACAGTCAATAAGCCTTGTCTAAGATTGAAAATAACACAACCATCAAGTTACTTTGTAATGTAACTTGTAAGATTAAAATTACATAACCTAAGCAATGACAGCCATCATTATGATATTATCTGATTGTCATAAAGACTTGAGAATACCAAGTCCAAAACATACATAATAGTGCAATTATTACAGTACATAAATATAGCCATTAATTAAATTTGCATTATGACTGGTGTAAACACATTGATTGTCCTTAGTTTTTTTACACAAATTCCTTTAATTGAACTTATGTTAAAACTAAAACTTATAAATACAAATTACATTCAAGACAGCTTTTACTAATTTCGACCAGTTGGGTCAATATAAATTATATTACTATTATTATAATCATAACTCATTTTATTGGTAATGGCATAAGTGAAATAAGCTAATGCCATGGCATGACACATTGCTTCTAATATAGTAATATTTAATTATGACATTAGCCAAAAGGATGTTTAAAATTTAAACTCAATATCATTTCATTAAATGGCTAAAGTGACGGTAATCTTACCTCACAGTCACACTCTCATACACACATATATATATATATATATATATAAAATAACTTTATAAAATTATTATTATAATCACAACTCATTTTACTGGCAATGGCATAAGTGAAGTAAGCTATGCCATGGCATGACACATTGCTTCTAATATATAATTGTAACATTAGACTAAAAGGATGTTTAAATTTAAACTCTATCAATATCATTTCATTAAATGGCTAAAGTGACAATAATCTTACCTCACACTCTTATACGCATTTATACAGACAAAATAACTTTATAAAATCAACAGTCCTTCGATAAAACAAGTTTATCCAAACATTGGTGTTAAAACTTAAACCTCATAGATACCGGTGTCGCTGTATTCGAATAATTTTTTTCGACTATTCGTATTAAGTTTACAAAAAAAGTATTCCAAAAATTTAAGTTACAACCTTTGTACTTTCGAAATAACAAATCCAAACCAATTTTAAAGGGGGGGGGGGGGTCGTATTTTAAAAATGTGTTAAAAAATTGTATAAAGAATAATATGAATTAGCAAACTTTTATAGCTATAAG